GGTAAAAAACGGAAGGACACTGTTTGTGTAGTCCTTGCGGATGAGCAATGTGAAGAACATAAGATCAGATTGAACAAAGTCGTTCGGGCGAACCTTCGGATTCGTCTTGGGGATGTTGTATCTGTGCACCAGTGTCCTGATGTTAAGTATGCGAAGCGTGTTCATATTCTTCCAATTGATGATACAATTGAGGGGATGACTGGCAACCTGTTTGATGCCTACTTGAAGCGTAAGGGCCTCGATTTTTAATTTCTTCCATGCTCAATATCCTCGTCATTTTCGTTAGAGATAATGCTCAAAAACACCTTTTCCTCCTTAACTTGAGTCAGCTGCCATGTTGATGAACTTTTTTTATGACAAATTAAGTTGTCACGCGCGTTTAGTGATTGTATTCGAACACTTGGTCTAGTCAACTTCGAAATGTATTTTGATAAATAGTTGGTGTTAGGGTAGGAAATACGAACAACTGATAGTTTAGATGTGAAACTTGCAATAGAGTGATACTTCAGGTGTGTTTTTGACCGTTTTCTCTTTTCATTATCTAGATTATCTCATATCTCATTTAACAGTCTTAAAAATCTGTTTGCATTTGCCATTGTTGACATACCAGCATACTTCTTGGAGTCTTACCGCCCTGTGAGGAAGGGCGATCTCTTTGTAGTCAGAGGTGGCATGCGAAGTGTTGAATTTAAAGTGGTTGAGACAGAACCTGGAGAATATTGTGTTGTTGCACCTGATACAGAGATCTTTTGTGAGGGAGAACCAATCAAGCGTGAAGACGAGGAGAGACTAAATGAAGTTGGATATGATGATGTTGGGGGTATGAGGAAGCAAATGGCTCAGATTCGTGAGCTGGTTGAACTCCCTCTGAGGCATCCACAGTTGTTCAAGTCAATTGGTGTGAAACCACCGAAAGGTATTCTCCTGTATGGTCCTCCAGGATCGGGGAAAACCCTGATTGGAAGAGCGGTGGCAAATGAGACTGGTGCCTTTTTCTTTTTGATTAATGGGCCTGAAATTATGTCCAAATTGGCTGGTGAGAGTGAGGGTAACTTGAGGAAGGCATTTGAGGAAGCCGAAAAGAATGCGCCGTCTATTATATTTATTGATGAGTTAGACTCGATTGCTCCAAAGAGAGAAAAGACACATGGTGAAGTTGAGCGGCGAATAGTTTCCCAACTTTTGACATTAATGGATGGGCTCAAGTCTCGATCACATGTGGTTGTCATGGGGGCTACCAACAGACCAAACAGTATTGATCCTGCTCTCAGGAGATTTGGAAGATTTGATCGGGAGATTGACATTGGCGTACCAGATGAAATAGGGCGGCTGGAGATCCTACGGATTCATACTAAAAACATGAAGCTTGATGATAATGTGAGCTGCTTTCTGCTTGTTCTTGTTGCTTGCTATGTTTACCTAGTTTTCCAATTATGAGCAGTTCTAGCAATTTTTTTTGTTGATGCTGTCAGGTTGATCTAGAGAGGGTTGCAAGAGATACACATGGTTATGTCGGAGCTGATCTTGCTGCCTTGTGCACTGAGGCTGCGCTGCAGTGTATCAGGGAGAAAATGGATGTTATTGACTTGGAGGATGAGACCATTGATGCTGAAGTGTTGAATTCAATGGCTGTGACTAATGAGCATTTTCAAGCTGCTCTGGGTGCTTCAAATCCATCAGCACTACGAGAAACGGTGAGTTTTATCTATTCCTAATTGAAGCCTTCCTTCAAGTAGGAGTTAACTGTTTGTTGTCTTTCAATGTATATGTTTCCTTTTGGTACTTCTCGGTGACTGAATCTCCTGGTTTTCAGGTAGTGGAGGTTCCCAATACCTCTTGGGAGGATATTGGGGGACTGGAAAATGTCAAGCGGGAACTTCAAGAGGTATGTGATTACAAAATTAAGAGGCATGTAATTGAAAATTTTGATTCCATTACGGACTTCTTAGGTGTTGTTGATGGTTCCATCGTCATCTGTATATATTGTTTGTCCAAAACTTGGACAAAAAAGAACAACTTGATAATTGTTCCTATTGATAAGAGCCTAACAAGTCACTAGTTTAGGTTAATAGTTTCAGCTCCGAAGTAAAGAAAAAAGACTCTTCTCGTTGGGGTGGAGGTGGTGTTTAAATTCCCTCATTTGCATCTTCTACTGTTCTTACTTGAAAATCCACTTTGCTTGCGGCAGACTGTTCAGTATCCGGTTGAGCATCCTGAGAAGTTTGAGAAGTTTGGAATGTCACCCTCTAAAGGGGTACTTTTCTATGGACCACCTGGTTGTGGCAAAACTTTACTGGCCAAAGCTATTGCAAATGAGTGTCAGGCTAACTTTATTAGTGTGAAAGGGCCGGAGTTGCTCACGATGTGGTTTGGAGAAAGTGAAGCAAATGTTCGGGAAATATTTGACAAGGCACGGCAATCTGCTCCATGTGTACTGTTCTTTGATGAACTCGATTCCATTGCTACACAGGTACTACCTCAAAAACTCGAGCCTGATGTAGAGTTGTCTCTTCATTTCTGTCACAATTTTATATCTTCTTGAACCAACTTTTGTTGCATATGTCCCTCTTTTAGAGAGGAAATTCAGTGGGAGATGCTGGTGGTGCTGCTGATAGAGTACTCAATCAATTGTTAACGGAGATGGATGGAATGACAGCAAAGAAAACAGTTTTCATTATTGGGGCAACAAATAGGCCAGACATTATTGACCCTGCATTGCTCAGACCAGGTCGTCTAGACCAATTAATTTACATCCCCCTCCCGGATGAAGCTTCCCGTCTTCAAATCTTCAAAGCATGTTTGCGTAAGTCCCCCGTCGCAAAGGACGTAGATCTGTCAGCTCTATCACGGTATACACGTGGTTTTAGTGGTGCAGACATAACTGAGATTTGTCAGCGAGCATGCAAATACGCCATTAGGGAAAACATTGAAAAGGTAAGAGATGCTCCTTTTGCACATTAATATGTTGGAATTCCTTTAAGAAGTTAGATACAAATTGCAAATGCTGGTGAACATTAGTGATGGTATTTCAATATGTCAATTGTTGCTCCGTCGGTCATTTCCTTTTTTTCCCGATTTTGTAATAAATGAATTTTACTCATCTTTGATTGGTGAATGACAGGATATTGAGCGAGAGAGGAAGAGGAGCGTGAACCCTGAAGCCATGGATGAAGATGACACTGATGAAGTGGCTGAAATAAAGGCTGCACACTTTGAGGAGTCCATGAAATATGCTCGAAGAAGTGTGAGTGATGCTGACATTAGGAAGTACCAGGCTTTTGCTCAAACATTACAACAATCACGGGGACTTGGAACTGAGTTCAAATTTGCAGAGCATGCAGCTAATGCTACACCAACCGGGGCAACAGCCGATCCATTCGCTTCTGTTAATGCTGCTGGAGACGAGGACGACTTGTACAGTTAAGAAGTTAACCTTGAGCACAAGGATGCTAGGGATGCTGGAAAAATGGAATGTTAGTGTAAGTAGAATAACTAGGTGTGTTATCATGTTGCAACTTTTGTATTAAAGAAATATTAGTGACAATGCACCTAAATGTTTTTTCCCCTGTGGATGTTATGTAATGTACTAATCTTATAGGCTATAACAAGAATTGAGATGCATCTGTCTTTGATAGATTGTTGATTGTTCTCATGATATAACTTGATATTTGGGGTACGTAAACGAGGACAAATTACATTGTTTTGTATTGGTCAGTTTTGAGCTGTCGAGTGACGATTGCTCCATCTCTTAAGAAAGCTGTCGAGTGACGATTGCTCCATCTCTTAAGAAAGTTGTCGAGTGACGATTGCTCCATCTCTTAAGAAAGGACGCGGGGGGCCTGTGTCATACTTCCTCCGTCCCTATTTAGTTGTCCACTTTAGAAATAACACACAGATTAAGGCAACAATGATTAGCATAGTGAAGTTACAATTTTACCCTTATAGTACAATTTACAATTCCAAAATAAATTCACTCAAGATAACTAATCAATACTGGGAAGTTCATAAGTTTATTTACTTTATTTATGACAACTTTATTTAAATAAGGGTATAATAGGAAAAAAATTGTTGTCCTTTCTTGATTTGTCAAAATGGACAACTAAATAGGGACATCTAAAAGAGGAAATATGGACAACTAAATAGGGACGGAGGGAGTAGATTGTTCTCATGATATAACTTGATATTCGACGTCATTTATTCCCAAAAACTAGCTTATGAGAGATTATTCTCATGATATAACTTGATATTTAGGGTACGTAAACGAGGACGGATCACATAATTTTGTACTAGTCAGTTTTGAGTTGTCGAGTGACGATTGCTCCATCTCTTAAGAAAGGATGCGGGGGCCTGTCTTAGAATTATTCATTATAGACCTGTTCATTCTTATATATAGCCAATAGAAACTCTGTAACACTTTCCCTGAAGAATCTCTCATATGATATTATATTACCTATGATGTTTTAATTTATGTTGCATACTTCAAGAGTCAAATAATTTAATTTTGATTATGAATTTGAGAATGAAGGTTTTATGTTTATTTTATAAAAGTACATATTTGAAAGCTACGTAAAAAATACTATAAGTTACCATAATTGTTAATTCAAAATGTTTTAAAAATATAAGAACAAAGCACATGTATCACCTCGAGCTATTCCCAAAATTTCAGTTACACACTTACACTTAACTAGGGTCATGTTATCCCCCTAAACAGATTTTTTCTATTGCTAATGTGAACTGCACATGTTTTTGTGTGAAATTTGTTATGTTTTTGATAAATTTTAAAAGAATGATAGAAGTTAAGTTTTAAATGCTTGGGGATGTTTTCTGTTAAGAAGTATAGTTTAAGTTGGAAGTATATTTTTGGCAAAAAAGATCAATTGATAAATAATTTCTAGATCAATTGATTAGGATTCCACATGTACTTGGACTCTGTCCGAAGGAGGATTTCCTATAAGAATACCTTTGGTGTGTGCTGATTTCTAGATCAACTGTCCAGCAAGATGTCTACTGATTGGTCGAAGCTTCCATACGACCTGTTGGTTCTCATAGCTAGACGTTTTAACCTGATTGAAAACTACCTAAATTTCGGCATTGTTTGCAAACCGTGGCACTCTGTAACTACCAAGGATAATTTCAACGATGACCTGCCTAGAATTCCATGGCTTATGTTAGCCGAAGACGGAACTTGCTCATGTCGAAAATTCTTCAGTCTCTATAATGGCATGATTTTGAAGAAGAAGATTCCAAAGGCTAGCGGAAAACGTTGTATGGAGTCTATGGGTTGGCTTATCACAGTCGGAAAAGATGAGGGTGAAATTAGTCTGCTACATCCCTTCTCTGGTGTTGAGATTGAATTGCCCCATCCAAATACCATGGAAAATTATGAGCATGACCGGACAGCAGAGTTGTGGACGTTTTTTAGCAAAGCAGTTCTATCAGCTAGTCCTTCTCATACATCCGACTATGTTCTTATGGTTATGGTCCCTGAGGGACTCAGTAATAACCTCAGTTTTTGGAGACCAGGAGATTTGAGATGGAACAGGATTATCTGGGATGAACCTGAACATGTTGACGTGACATATTTTAATGGGCACTTTTATTCCGTGGGTTATTGGGGTCGTGTCCTAGTTCATGATGTTGCTAGCTCTCAACCCACTAGAAATGTCATAGCGCAGTTAGAAGATACTATAGGCCGCGAAAACCATTTATACATCCTAGAATCACTAGGATCATTATTTGTAGTTGCACGATATGGTGTCGTCGAATTAAGGGAGGACCACAAGTTAGGGTTATCACTGGACGACATCCGATTTGAAGATAACTATATATATATGACTATAAGTTTTCGAGTTTTCCAGGTTGATTTAGCTGGTGGCAAAGTGACGGAAACCAGGGAATTAGGGGACAGAGCATTTTTTGTTGGTCATAGTGCTTCTCTATCGGTCCAAGCTTCTCAATTTCCAGGAATCAAGTCCAATCATATCTATTTTACCGACGATTATTGGAAAATATACCTGAACTGTGAAGAGGGAGGGGGCTCGGACATGGGGGTGTTCAGCTTAGCAGATGGCAGTTTTCAGCCTCATTACGAGGGTCGTTCCATGAGTTGTGTTTGTCCTCCAATTTGGGTCACACCAACTCTATATTGAGTTAAAGACTCATCCTTTACTTGTTTTTATTTGTTATGATATGTCCTGTTTTCGTTTTTATTTGTTATGATGATATGTCCTGTTTTTGGAATTGGTTGATGCATCGAGGGTTCAACATGTACTACATATACATAAACTCTCGAACCTTTCTAGCTCTGCCCCTAGGTGCAGTCACCATTGCAATTTATATACCAGCTGAAAAACAGAAGTAGCAATATAACCATCTTCTAGCTATCTAGATCTTGCGTTATAATTTTGAATCACTTCTAAATTTGGGCTTACAGTATGCATGTCAAGTAAGCTGGGCCATCTCAGCCAAGCCCACTTAGGGAGAGCACACCCAGATATTGGGCCCAAAGATGAGCTCGGTCCAGCCCACAATCTCTTAGGATGTGGAGTTGTGGACCAACATTTCTTCTTATAACTTTTTTCTAATATAAACACAAAAAAATGGTAAAAAATCCTAAACATGGCTAGTTTGTTGAAAAAATTCTTTCTTTTGAATTTGAATTGGTAGATGAATTTGTTGAAAAATTATTAAATATTTCATGCATTCATGGATTTAAAAAGTAGGTTTAATACGCCGATAGCCCTTAAATTTATTAGTAAATTTCATTTAGACATTCAAACTACAACTTGTTCCAATTGAATATCTGAACATAGTAAAGTGTCATATTAGACAGTTAAGTTAACCACATAAAATATGACATTTTTAAAATTATACATATCAACCTCAATTGAAACAAAACAGAAGTTTTACGACTTATTGAGACTAATATCTAATTAACGTAGATGATATAATTAAGCACCTATGACACTATGAGGTTCACTAAATTACTCATGGGTGACGTGGTAGAGCACAAGCAGTTATGCGCAGGAACGTACAAATGTTATGGAAATAGCAAGAATGTAAAGTGACCTTCATGGATTTCCTAAGTTGGTGGGAATCTTTTCTGCTGGGGGCCACTTTATCCCTTTCGTAAAAATCAAAAATTTCGCTAAGAATATTGTAATAAGTGTTTCAAATATAATGCAATAAAGAGTAATATTTGACATACGAACTTAATATATTTTCTCCATGGAAGGGTAGTCAAAAGAAAAATTGATGAAAGAAGGTGAGTTATAGTAATATGATATAAGTGTTTTTTTTAAATTAATATGTTGAATTGTGTGTTTTTTTAATATATAATGCCGCTACAATCATTTTATTGACTTCCATTATGTAGTGATACGTACTGCCCACTTTCTAAACTGACCCAACGGCTTTACATTTGCACTTTCTGTTCGTCTTGTGTGCTTCCTCACGTGACCACTCTTTCATTTGAATCCATGGTTTTTTTTTTTAAAAAAAAAACAAGTAATCATTTAATTTGATCCATGGAGTATGAGTTGGACAATGATTATTTGAGAATTTATCAAATATAGATATTCATATTATGAATACTCATTTGTCTGCTTGTTATTTTTCTTGACTTTTGACTTGTGCTCTCACTTGACTATTCCTAAAACCATGAATAGTACAAATATTCATATTATCCGTTGATTATTCAAATCTTTGGCAGCAGATTGATGTTCTACTAATTAAATGTGTTGCCTGTAGGTCCATAGTTATCCACAGATTTATGGACACAAAACTTTGATTAAAACAATACGTACTTCAGTTAATATCATGTTTTTGTCAAAACAGTGACAATGCTTCTAATGGTTGAAATCAGACACTAGTATTCTGTTTTGAGGGTTAATTTCACATACGGTCACTAAATTAACTATTTATAACATTAAAATCGCAAAATTAACTATTTATAACATGCAATATATAGTTGTCTACAAATGACAGAAAAAATCAAGTTCCTAAAATCAAAAATGATTCGATAAAAACGTCGTATAGTTTGTGGGTTCGGCATAAACTCTGTTTTTGTCTTCCCAATTGGTAGTGTTTGCTAACTGATTTATAAGTTGTGTCGTACATATATCTCTGTCACATAATGAAAGTTGAGGGGTCCTTAAGTTGTTGTAGATGAGAACATTTCACTTGATTGGTTTGGCAGAAACTTAATTCTTCTATTCTAATTATTGGACAATAGCGTTATGGAGCCACAAGGGTCATCCTTTCAATCATTGCTCCAACCTTCCTATGCTCCGTAGGGGGCGGAGCTAAGGGTGCAAGAGGTTTGATTTGTCGAAAAATTACATTGTATAACAAAGTTAAAATTAATTTTAGGTATTCATAGTTGGTTTACTGTTGTTTCTTTATATTTTGAATCTCTGTAGTGAAAATCATGATACCGTTTCCTACTACCCTTATTTGTTAGCCCTTCAATTACAAGTTAGGAGGTATATCATCACTAACTAGAGATATTATGGCTTACTCTCTTTTTTACTGTCTCTATCATTACAAAGTATAAAAGATATTGGAAAAGTGTAAAATAGTGCATCTGTGAAAAAGGAATGGTCCAACTGATATTTTGTACTTGGAAAAACTTGGAAGAATTATGATTAATTACTTTCCAAGGTGCTGAAATTCATTGGCGTCTATTAATTTTGGTGCAATGTAATATTGATTAGGACTTCATTTTCTCATATTCATGCACAACGGACCAGACATGTAAACGGTTTGCTAATAGACATATTCGACGTGATGTTACACTATACTTGCTCCTGTACAATTATAGTTCTATCATTACGAAAACCTGTTAAATTATCTTACTTTTGTTTTGTCAATCACTTCAAAATGTCTATCAATGGCTGCTAGCAATTTTCCGTTTCTCGTTGTTTTTATTTGAAGGCTGTTTGAATTGATTGTGTTAGTGGACACTGTACAGTAGGGAGATAAAGAAAATTTTGACTTTGCTGTACAATGGATTTCATTTTCATTTGCTTAACAATTAAATTGACAATAAGGTTCCCTCTACCTAGCTCTTTACGGTTGCTAATACTATCTAGTTCAAAAGAATAACAGATCTATCATGACTATCGCTACATTATTATTGGTTGCTGGTGCTATAGCTAACGGAGGAGGATGAGTGAGTAAGAGAGCAATTAAAAGACCCTTGGAGGCGTAGCAACTGAGCTGGAGTGACAGATGAAGACGAGTAGGAAAATGATGAAGTATCGGACATTTTTGAGGAGTTGTTCAATGTCTTTTTAGCTTCATTTCCTGTTGCATGCTCATGAATAATCTCCTTGAGTAATGCCACCACATCTTTCATTGTTGGACGATCTTCAGCCCGGTTACTAGTACACAACAAGGCTATTCCAAGGGCTTGAAGCATTTCCTGAATTTGTGTATCAGGATGTCCTTGTAACCTTGGATCAATTACGTCAACTGGATCTTTCTTGCTCTTTAGGTGGTCGCGAACCCATTGTATAACATGTTGGCCATCAGGGAAGGATGGGTCGGCTGGCTTTTTCCCAGTAATGATTTCTAGCAACACAACTCCAAAGCTAAAAACATCGCTCTTCTCTGTAATCTTTAGCATACAAGCGTACTCTGCAAAAGACAAAACAATAGAACAGAGTTTAGTCCTTTTCATGCCAGATATTTATCACCTATTTGATCTTGATGCTTTTTGAAACATAACAAAGGCATTTGTTGGGCGATTATTTTTCACATATCGCAATCGGACAACAAGCAATGGCCAAAGGGGTATGGAGACAGCAGCAATGTGTCCATGCTTGGCTGTGAAAGTGTGACCACTAACTTGGTTATGGTTTTTTTAGAGTATTCCCCATCCTAAGTATCTTTAGTGGGGGGCCATACACAGGCAAAAAGATGGGGAAATAGCACTGTAGCTGCCAAGTATGTCATGACAAACTTGGTTTTGCACATAGTTAAAGCTAGCACATGGCTTCACATGCATATATTGTCAAAATAGTGACACAATTCCATCCGTATGGAAGCAACTTAAACTGAATTCTCCTTCTTGCTCTCTGTTTGCAGTGCTTTATATCTGTTCTCTTCTGCTACCTCGCATTCAGTTCTTCTTTTTTCTATAAAGGAAAAAACGGAAAAAATCCAAAGGCAAACTTGGGGTTGGCTATATGAATCCTAATTTCATTTAAGCTCACATCATATCATCAGTAAAAAAATAAAATACTAATAATAATCATGATTAAAGTTTCATACGAGTCTTTAAAATATCCTTAACATTAAGCTATCACCTACATGGATCTTTTTCTTCCATTTGTACTATCTTTACCTAAGTCTGTATTGATATCAAGCGTATTTTGAGATTACTTCCTTCCAATTTCCATATATATATATATTGAAAAAATAGTTCTTATATATGTGTGTGATTATGTGACGAAGAGGGTTCAAATGAACTCCCTTCCACCCTCTAGCTCCACCATGGACTTGAACTAAGTGATAAATGAAACCTCACATAATTGCATTAGAGGAGAATTCCCCTAATAACTAAAGTAATAAATGAATCATAACTAGTCGATTTTCGAAAGAAATGAACTTGAACTAGGAAGAAGAGAAATATTTACCTGGGGCAAAGTAGCCATAAGATCCAGCAAACTGAGGATTTGCTGTAACTGAAGAATTTTCCTCCTCCATGAGTCTAGCAAGTCCAAAATCAGCTAAACACGGCTCGTAACGATCACCTAACAAAATGTTCTGAGCCTTGACATCGCGGTGGAGGATGGGTGGAACGCAGTCGTGGTGCAAGTAAGCTAATCCCTCAGCCACCCCTAATGCAATCTTGAATCTGGTTTCCCACTCAATTAACCCTCCAAAACCTTCATGTAAAAATGAACCTAATGTACCATTTGGTAAATAATCATAGAACAATAGCTTAGTCTTTCTATTTGCTGCCCATCCAAGTAATCTAACAATGTTCCGATGTCGAATTCGTGCCAGCGTGGCAATCTCCGACGAGAATGCCGACATCGAGTGCTTGTCCGATGCTCGGAATCTTTTCACAGCGATCGTCAATCCTGACGGAATATTCACTTTATACACAACTCCGGACCGACCACGGCCGAGGACGTTACCA